ATAATATCAACGTATCAATAACAAACGTCAACGCCAGAGAATAATGACCTCGAATAATATGTCTTGATGATCTGCCGTAACAGATCTCATTGTGCATAAAAGGCTAAACAGTGATGAACTGTATATGAAAACATCACTCAAAATCAGTGATGACACCAGGTATTCCCTTCAAACAGCGAACCTCCTTTATGCTGAACCTCGTTAATACAGATATCCGCATTCCAGACTATTGATCTGGTATTGCTGGGGACTTCCATACATAATTAAAACGACATTGCTACATGATTTGTTAATCTTGAAGTTTGTTAAATCTGAGAAGAGTTTCGAGAACGGTAGTGACTTACTAAAAGGGATTTCACTGTCTATCGATAGTATTAAATAAAATTTGCGTTCTCAAACATTGTGCACTTTACGACAACATTAAACATACAGCTTTCAATAAGTCCATAATACTATTTCTGCCAACGGTTGTCTCACACTTCTAAGATGCGTCTACTGGAGGAGACACGGTTGTCTCACACTTCTAAGATGCGTCAACTGGAGGAGACGCGGTTGTCTCACACTTCTAAGATGCGTCTACTGGAGGAGACACGGTTGTCTCACACTTCTAAGATGCGTCTACTGGAGGAGACACGGTTGTCTCACACTTCTAAGATGCGTCTACTGGAGGAGACACGGTTGTCTCACACTTCTTAGATGCGTCAACTGGAGGAGACACGGTTGTCTCACACTTCTAAGATGCGTCAACTGGAGGAGACACGGTTGTCTCACACTTCTAAGATGCGTCTACTGGAGGAGACACGGTTGTCTCACACTTCTAAGAAGCGTCAACTGGAGGAGACATGGTTGTCTCACACTTCAAAGATGCGTCAACTGGAGGAGACACGGTTGTCTCACACTTCTAAGATGCGTCAACTGGAGGAGACACGGTTGTCTCACACTTCTAAGATGCGTCTACTGGAGGAGACACGGTTGTCTCACACTTCTAAGATGCGTCTACTGGAGGAGACACGGTTGTCTCACACTTCTTAGATGCGTCAACTGGAGGAGACACGGTTGTCTCACACTTCTAAGATGCGTCAACTGGAGGAGACACGGTTGTCTCACACTTCTTAGATGCATCTACTGGAGGAGACACGGTTGTCTCACACTTCTAAGAAGCGTCAACTGGAGGAGACATGGTTGTCTCACACTTCAAAGATGCGTCAACTGGAGGAGACACGGTTGTCTCACACTTCTAAGATGCGTCTACTGGAGGAGACACGGTTGTCTCACACTTCTAAGATGCGTCTACTGGAGGAGACACGGTTGTCTCACACTTCTTAGATGCGTCTACTGGAGGAGACACGGTTGTCTCACACTTCTAAGATGCGTCAACTGGAGGAGACACGGTTGTCTCACACTTCTAAGAAGCGTCAACTGGAGGAGACATGGTTGTCTCACACTTCTAAGATGCGTCAACTGGAGGAGACACGGTTGTCTCACACTTCTAAGATGCGTCAACTGGAGGAGACACGGTTGTCTCACACTTCTAAAATGCGTCTACTGGAGGAGACACGGTTGCCTCACACTTCTAAGATGCGTCTACTGGAGGAGACACGGTTGTCTCACACTTCTTAGATGCGTCTACTGGAGGAGACACGGTTGTCTCACACTTCTAAGATGCGTCAACTGGAGGAGACACGGTTGTCTCACACTTCTAAGATGCGTCAACTGGAGGAGACACGGTTGTCTCACACTTCTAAGATGCGTCTACTGGAGGAGACACGGTTGTCTCACACTTCTAAGATGCGTCAACTGGAGGAGACACGGTTGTCTCACACTTCTAAGATGCGTCAACTGGAGGAGACATGTTCCTAAAGTTACTTCTGAAACAATATCACCGCACTTACAGAAAGAACAAAGAGAAATACACCAAAACCCCCTTGTCTTTGCGTAACTTTAATATTTAGTCAATAAAATGTGTCGGTGGCGTTGGAGATGATGCCCAGACGTATTTATAACGCCACATTTCTCATCCCTATGACAAAAGACCGTTGCTAGGCAAGTTTTGCTTCTTTCAAAGCTCGTGTTCGTAAAACCCTTTGAGGGAAAACATTCCCATCGGCACACAACAACAAAGAGTAGCAAAAGCGGTAATAGTTTGTCATTTGTGGACTTGAGGGAAAATATTAAAATATAAAACTCCGATCAGGCACAAAGCCAACGATTCTGCTTTGTATTGAAATGATAATGACAGTTAAAATTCCACACAGGATTCTTATACTAAGTGATTGCAATTATTCCAGACAAAGGATGGAAGCAAAATTATCTGATCACGTTCTACTGTTGCAACGACTGTTTGGTAAGAAGCCTAACATGGATGTAATCCTTTTCCCAGACGTAAAATATTATACAATTGTCCGTGGCGTTTCAAAAGGATCTCCTGAAACATTTGGTCACCTGCTTCATACATGTGCCTGAAAAACAATGTTGAGCACTGTCTCATCTTTGTTTCAAATAACCTGAACGTATCCTTTGGGAATATGCCATTGATCTCAATGTGATAAATGTCCAAGATGCCACCTATACTTCTTGGAAAGGGGAAGCAATATGAAAGGGTAGTCTATTTATTGCTAGTGAGCAGATACGAAACATGTCATTAAACAATTGAATCATGTTTTGTGGAAATGTACAGTAATCGTTTTATCGTCTACTACCACGACTACAACTGTTGCTGCTTCTGCTACTACTACTACTACTACTACTACTACCTACCACCACCACTACCACAATCACCAATACTGCTACTACTACTACTACTACTACTACTACTACTACTACTACTACTACTGAAAAAGCGGCATTACCTGTTATAATAACCGTTATGCACACAGGTTATCCGCTACAACGGATAACAATATATGTACTGGATGGATCTCTGGGCTTCGAGATAACGACGCCGTTCAGATTCCGGGTCAGGACTCGCCACTTTTTTTTCATACTCGTGGATAGCACCAACTGATGGTGATCGGCTGATAACTGTGTCCACCTGGTTGATACACTAACGGGCAGACCGCCTCCGTGGTCTAGAGGTAGAGCGTCCGCCCGGAGAGCGGAAGGTCGTGGGTTCAATCCCCGGCCGCGTCATACCAAAAGACGTTAAAATGTGGTACTTGTTGTTACCCTGTCTGGCGCTCGGCATTAAAGGGCTAACACAAGGACTGGTCGGCTCGGAGTCAGTATATTGTGTCTGAGTGGGGTATTCATGTTAAAACTGCGGCATGGTATCTCAGTGTGCTAGCACTATAAATCGGCATCAGTCCGGACTAGTACAAGCAGCCACACAAACACACACACGTACATGAACGCAATAAGTGCAATAATCTTGGACGTTTAACCCCATTTCACCTCACCTCACCTCACTAACGGGCAAAAGAAAGTATACACTTCAAAATTGGATTCAACCAAAACATTACAAACATTAACAAAACGTTACTAGGCTGAAAACCGTTCCACTTAAACTTAAAGTCCAAAAACTCAACTATGATGCCAATAACAAACACATCACCATCAAATAACCATTTCTGGTTGCTTCGTCTTTAGCGACCATTAAACATGGCTGAATACTTTCTTTCGCCCGGCATGTTAGACGACGTGTCCTGTATCTTATGTTGTCCAGTACTGGTTTGCCATATCCAGAATCGATCATATACAGACTGTCGTGTTATACGTAAAATAGCGTTTCGGCGAATAACAAAACTGACTCACTCACTCGTGTTAACGATATTAACACTTGCTGTAACACAACTAATTATGGAATTACACGAGCAAATAGTGTTACATCGTTACAAACGTGAAACGTACTGACATAGCGGTATGCATCGGGTTTTCCATCTCCCAAATAGATGCATGCATCAACCGAATTCTTGCAAGAACCTAAGCGACTATATCTCTTGCTCACTGTCATAAACATGATCAACAGTTTGCGTTCCATCTATCAACTTGATTCCAACCGCTAAATTAGTATAGTCCGCCTGTCATATTAGTCTCCCGTCTATCTGAGGATTATTTTGGTCCGTAACGAGGGGGGCGATATTAGTTTAGGCAAATTAGCTAGGTCTCGACCGTTTCTCACCCGATATTATAACAATTGATCATATGACCTCGATGATGGCTTGCAATATGATAACGTAATTCATAGTTCCTGAAACTGTCTACCATTAGTTGGACTATGTTAAGAGCATCTCGATATTAATGATAATTGTTTTTGCAGGTAAAGTGTCATTCAGGATTTGATGATGTTTGCAATCCACAACCTTCTGTCGTATACATATAATGTAGGAACTCGGGATACTAAAACTTGTATTTGTATAGGCTATTGGCCACGATCGGTGCATCGGCTTTCTTATATTCTACATGAAACTGTTGTTAGGGCAGCACTAACATTGTATGAAAATATCATGTTTTTGTATCATGATATTGGTAAATTTATCTCTCATACACTGAATTTAACAGTGAAATAAACTAAATAAGTGTATTTCAAAAGACAGCATTGACACTTATACCAGTAGTGTTTCTTTAAATGACAGGTGCCAGATTTGATGTCAAGAACAACATCCTTTGAGTTGTGGGTTTATTAAAGATGTATTAGTGTTCGATCCGTGTAGGATGAAATACGGGCTGACTCTCCGACTGAACACAGTGGGTAAAGAAAACACAAATCTTTATACGTATATCTACTGGAGGAAGCAAGGTGGCATATTTCGTCTGGAGCAAGTTTGCCAGTTGACCGTGATTGACGTGAAAATATCTAATGAGAATCAGAGATCAGCTGACGAGTCCTTGCAGGTCGTTTCTCATGCTGCAAATCACCGTTTTGTCCGACTGATTATTTACAAGTCGCCGCCGGACTATAAAACAAGGCTCTCTTATTCATGCATCATATTTCCTTAGCATGTCTCTGGCAATATTTAGTTTCAGACTTGGATTCCTTTTAATGTCAATTTTCTATATTTCAGGTCTCGTTTTGGCCGTTGGGATAATACTGTTCATATCTGCAATCAATGACGAAGTTGGACATAGACCAACAAAGAGTTTCTCGTTTTCCTACAAGTATGGATGGTCCTTCTATATAGCAGGGCTATCGTTTATTGCCTCGGAACTGGCCGCTGTTGTGTGCGTTACAATTTTCTTACGCAGGCATTCGAAAATATCGGATATGATCAACATAATTCCTGGATTGGAAGAAAAGCTAGACAAGGATTATGAGAAGACAGAGCAGAAATGCTCTGGGCAGGAGGACCGTACGATGCTGTATATGGGATGATGCTTTGAAATTGGTCTGCATCTGTGAATGAGATGGTGGCGCCGTTTAATAAGACGTGTATGTTAGCGTTGATTTGGAATGCATTTGGCGGAAAGAAAAGGCTTGCATTTTGAAAATAAGAAATGTTTTCATTTAGTAGTGAAATATGTTTTGTTCCTTGATGGAGATAGAGACGGATACTGGTGTGATAAGTTAATCGTTTAAATAGTGCATTTATTTGGTTCAATTTCTGTTTCACTTTTATAATAGAAACATATAATTCATATACGATTAGATATCTGAGATGATGTTGAAATTGCTTGCATTGCCTGGGATACTAAACAGATTTATGTGATACTTAAGGTAGTCATATAAAATGTATGTAATATTCTTCAAAAGTAAATATATATCATTAATATTTACCTAAAACGGCATGTTTCTGCGTTAGAAAACTATATGAGATAATTCAAAAGATTGAATTTGATTGAATTGCTGCGGTAATAATCTAACTTTTGTGTAGACTTGAATTAAAGTAAACAAATAAGTAAATAGATATTTGAAATAGATTATCAAATGTAACCTAGCACGTGAACTACATTTAGCACGCGAAATTGTGTGTTTGTTTTTGTTAGCCAGATAAGTTTATTTTTAAACTTGATAACTATTTGAACCAGTTGCCATTATTATAGTGTATTTGGTATAGATGTTTTATAAATGTCTTTTACCTGGTGACAAGATGTTTTTTGCAACTATACGAAGTTGGCAGATTGCATGTTTTATCAAGTTTTTTGGATGGTATGACAATAACTATTCTACACTATTTTTATTGGTGGTTTGAAACGGTTTTGTAAAATGTATATTTGTATCCATGTGAGATAAGTTTGGTAAGAGACATTTAAAAGATTTCCTCGTCTCTGAAACTGCTGGGCTATTTCGTAGAAAGGTCCCACTAAATATCCCAAGTACAAAGTGAAAAGTAAGATTAAAAAGCACCTCATTATCAGCTTTTACTGTTAAAGGTATCACCGTTTGATTTAAATATGTTGTTAAGATAAATGTATGTATTATCATTTCAATGCAAAAACAGCATGTACAGAAAACCACTTGATATATTTTGGTAGTATATTTTATATTGTAAGTAATAATATTGCCTACCACCTACATGAATTTTCATGCAATACACATGATTTTATATATGTACATATACCTCTATCTCACCCATATATATATCTATGAACTTGTATTGATTCCATCTACTCTGTTATATGATGTCAGACTATTGAATGAGATTTATTCAAATCGTTCACGTCATAATTGATCGCCTACTATTAAAAACAAACAATGATGCTCTACATACATGTATATACAAATATGTAGGTGCGTGTGTGACCAGGCGTCACAATTCGCTGTGCAGAGTAGTGTCCCTTGGCCACGCTAGAAATCTATGATCGTTGGTTCGAATCCCGTTTCGCCCCGTTCATGTTTCTACGCTTGTCAGCTCCATACCCATGCTTATGGGTATCTGTGACGCGCATCACTTCGAGGCTTTTCTCCCCCTTTAAGCTGACCCGCCGTGATAAACTGGAATGCTGTTCAGACGGCGTTAAACCCAACTCTCTCACTCACTCACTCACTCACTACAATGATATAATAATCCACACCCGGGATTCGTTAACTGGGATAATTATCAATCCTGCGATATGACTGGAGACGTTACTGTCCAGAGGTTCACTGTATGTGGAATGACAACTGCTGATGTATTGTATTTGGTAGACAACACCATTCTATAATCAGAAGAAGTCTGTCACTTAGTCCACATGGGAGGAACGCGCGACGTGAACGAAGGTAATTACACAGAAATGAACGGCTTTCTAGAATGTACGATGGCCACATACAACATGGGGCATTTTATAAAAATAATACACTGGTAATAAAAGCGTTATTCCCCCCCCCCCCCCCCCCCCACACACACACACGTGATATGGCAGGAATATTGCTTAAAGCGACCTAAAACCATACTCACTCACTCACGTTATTCCAAAATCACTCACTCATATAATCAATCACCAGTTGTAACTGCGTTGACATTGGAATGAGAATATGATGGTACAATGCTTGGTAAAGTTCCTGACTCACAAAAGTAACTTCTTTAATATGTACTACTCAAAAGAAGAACATCCGATGTTTTCATATTGCCATAGTTAAACTCTCATGGCTTGTGGGTATTGTAACGCCCAAACTTTCAATTGTTGGCGTTCTTGAACTTGTTTTGAGTTGTATACTTAGCAACACACACGTATTATTAAACCTTACATTACATATTACTAAACCTAGTGTTCGACCTCCTACATTATCCAGTGCATACGTGTTTTATCTCCATTATAAAAATAATATAATCATCTCCGTTTTGAGTACGATTCGTATTGCAGGCATGGGCGGATACAGAGGGGGTGGTGGTGGTGGTGGTGGGGGTGCGCACCCCCCCTTTTATTTCGAAAAAAAATCTTTATTTCTGTATAAATTACCACCAAAGACAATAAATAGATCTTAATTGTGCACCCCCCCTTTTTAAAAAAAGCTGTATCCGCTCATGGCAGGACACAAAATCTAAGGCTCCCACTCAAATTACTCTCGTGGTTAATACGGGATCTGTTAAAGATTGACGAGCGACTGAGGTGGGGGATATTGTTTGTGAATCAAGCTGTGTTTGCAACTGGGCACAGGGTACCTTCATAATAGAATGGAGACTTTTACACTGGCTGATCGAGGTGGAGTGTTCACATGGTCGCATGTTCATTGTATGTTATCAGAGAAGGTTGGACGTTTCAATGTCCGTATTTGTAAAACGTGTTGGACATTTACGTTTGTGAGAACAGCTGATCCTTGGAAAGGATCTACTACTGGCCTACCTTTGTACGTCATAGACGGGATGCAACTCATCTTTACATTTGACTGGATGTTGATAATTATTTAAACTTTGTTAATTCGTTGATTGTTTCGTATGATAATCAGATGCTTCACACTTCTTGATTTAATCGGCATATGTGTTGACACAGCCCATGATCTGTACACAAAGGTTAGGTGAGGTGAAATTGGGTTTATCGTCGCGTCAAGATTATTGCACTTATATAGCGACGTACATGCATGTGTGTGTGTGTGTGTGTGTGTGTGTGTGTGTGTGTGTGTGGCTGCTTGTACTAGTCCGGACTGATGCCGATTTATAGTACTAGCATACTGAAATACCATGTCGCAGTATAACATGAATACCCCATTCAGACACGGTATACTGACTCCGAGCCGACCAGTCCTTGTTTTAGCCCCTTAATGCCGAGCGCCAGACAGGGTAACAACAAGTACCATATTTTAACGTCTTTTGGTATGACGGACCCCGGACCTTCCGCTCTCCGGGCGGACGCTCTACCACTAGACCACGGAGGCGGTCTGTACACAAAGATGTTGTTGGCAGTTCACTACGTGGTAAACCGTAATGAGTTCAAAAACGTTCAAAACGTCTTGCCTTAAGTAGCATTGTTGCTAAACCAGTGAACGCAATGTTTTCGAAAACCTTTTCTGATTGATTTTGACAGTTTCGACACAGATTATGCACAAGACATGTCCCAACGAAACTGTAGAGAAAGTAATTGAGCGCTTTAATGGATTGTTTTGTCCTCTAACGACCATTTAAGCGTAAAGGGCCTCGATTAGCCAAATGGTCTAAGTCGCCATTCCATATACATGCCTGGATCCGCTGGTTACGAGTTTGAATTCCGGGTACGCTCTGATTATATATGTCTGCACCATGCCGTTGCCGTAGAGGTGTTACTTACGTCGCCAACATCTGGGTATGCTGGTATATATGTATGAATAGATCCATTAAACCCAAACATGGTTGATTGGAATAGACAAAGAATAATGACTGTAGACCACATTTTCATAATGACACATGATATATATTACAAACATATGGACGTAGAAGTGTACCGAAATCGCTAATTTAAAATAATATTGCTAATTCGTTTAGTAATATTACTTATTCATTTAGTTGTATCACTTGTTTGTTTTGATTTTGTAAAATTACTTATCGATTTTAGAAATTATTACTTACTATTTTACTAAATTATTAATTTATTTAGTAGTATTACTACTTCATTTTGTAACATGACTCATACATTCAATAATATTACTCATTCTTTAGTAATATAACTGAGTAGAAACAGACGAAATAAAAGAATAAATAATATTTAATTACTCAATAAAAATAGCGATTTATGTCCATTTCTGCATCCTACGAAAACGGCTGAGCTGAAATTGAAAGCTCATGTGTATATTATTGAAACAACAGCCTGCAAGGCTACGAAAGACGTGTATGTTATGTATATATGAAACAATGTAAAGATGAAAGTTACCCCTTGTACTATGTTTTAAATGGTTTAGTTGTGGATATTCTGTGATTGTTTGGTACACTGTTATTCAATGTTAAATAATGTATTTAGTTATCATACAATGTACGTTCCGTCCCATGCTTTTTGATTTGCTGCTAAAGTTCTTTGAAGTGTAGTTTCCATGGTAAAACGGTTACAGCGGTGTTGCAGAGCAGCTTCTAAATAATTTGTTTATCAATACATTTTCATAATATTGAACAACCATTACAATAACAGGAATGAGGTTTAAAGTATAGTAGTAGTACCTTAACTGCGATGTGTAGACATGTTCAGATGTTAACAAACTTTGTTGTATGCACTAGTTAAGCTGTTTGTAGGACTATTAGACATTTTGTAGAGCATTTTTCGATTTTTGCTACTTTGTTGACTTAAATGCTTCTTATCTATAGAAGTGCAATTATTAAACATGTTTTCAATTTTCTTGACATTCGTGTTATTTGTGTCAAGTGATGGGAGCGTATCCTGCACCACCGGTTGTACCCGATACAAACACATGCAAAGGCAAACACCTGAAAAAAGTCAGGGAACTGCATCGGACTCCATTTCGGTCTCTGATGAGTCAAATTTGGAAATGAGTGAGTGAGTGAGTTAATATTTGACGTCACAAACGCAATATTGCAGCCATGTAGTGACGAGAAATTTGGATTGTGTCCTCCACATGTCTGCCATAATGTGTTTGTATACAGAGATCACAAAGCCGAGATTTCTTCTAACAAGGACTTTACTTTTCCAGGTAATGTAATGTAATTGAATGTATCCATCATTTACTTACGACAGAACATGTAATTAAACATGTACAAATACCCTGTTATAATGAAATTGCAACACAGCAATAACATGATACCTTACACTGTAATACAATGAATGCCCCCTTGCTACGGGCAACCTTTCCTGCGTTAGCGCGCACCTCTACAACGAAAATAGAAAAAAAGATACACTATGGCACGTGGCTAAATAGTTTAACTTTCCAATAAATGTACGAAATTGACTGACAACAGCATATTAAATGCCCAAAAATCTTAATGTTATCTAACACACCATCATTATCATTATGATCATAATAATATTATTCATTCTTTAAATCCTATATATGCTTTGTAATTGGCAAAATTATGCCAGATATTTCTGTTTTCAAGTCTCAGTCTACATCAGTGCAACCTAGCTCTTAGTTAATATCAATTTTTATTCAAAAACATAAGGATTATGATAGGCATTTAGAGGTTGGAGTACTAAGTAAGATTTATGGATGAACATCTTCTTTATTACAATCAGGAGCGACGTTTCGGTGTAGCTTATAACACCGTTATCAAGCAAGTGACTTGCAAGTGATCAAGTGATCAAGCACTTGCCTGATAACGGCGTTAGAACCTGCACCCAAACGTCGCTCCTAATTGTAATAAAGAAGTTGTTCATCCATAAATCTTATCCTAACTGAATAAGGATTATGGTTGATGTTTGAGACAGGATTTGGTGGCCCTGAAAAGTATCTCTTGTACGTTTTGATTGTGAAGCTTAGGAATCCAGTCCAAAAGAGGAATGAACATGTCTTGAGGTTTTTCGAAAAATACCACGACAGCTTGACGACATCGAATTAATATTTCTGTCTGGTAGAAATGGAACCCTGTCAAGTTTCCGTACCAGAAGCGTTACTCCATGCAGCCTGCTTGTTAAAGTCGACTTGAAAGGGAACTGGAGGATTGGGAACTGTGCATTGGCCGCTTGGCATTGATGTGTGAGCGGTGTAAACCCACTTGATGTAAGACAGAATGTTTTGTCAAACAGAAGAGTGTAGTTAAATACAATGTGTAAACATAAATGCAATCTAAAGTTTTATATATTCGTGTGAAAGAAAGAATAATGTGTCATATTACCCGACGACTATTGACCTTGGTCATGCTTTTAATGACTGGTTTGTCTGACCCGATTACTGACAGGATGCTGCCTGCATCGTAACATATCTTTATGTTTAAATATCTTTATGTTGCTGACGTATTTCTGTGTGTTAATATAAACATGAATTCGTTAGGTTCCGTGATAAACTATTTCAGTCCGTAACGTTTCCAGTAAAGTTGGCAAATAAGTCACTACGCGTGGGATAATTTTGGACCATAAAGTCACGAATAGTTTTGCACTCTGGGCTCCTTCGAGTTCGAGTCCCGTACTAATTTAATCGTGACTTTGAATCATAACAATGTCGTTCAAATATGCACGTGTACATGTGCTGGAGGGCTGTTCTCGTCACTGAAAACTAATAGTAACTGAGTCCCAGTAAATTAAAACTATAGGTGGTGTTCTCTTCAAAGAACGCGAAAGCGCGTGCAGTGCGGTGCGGTCGGTATGGCAGACCCCAACAAGGATGTTTTATCCGTTTCATTACGAAATAAAGTCCGATTTTGAAACGCTGATTAGTTCTGACGTTAGTTTCAGTGAGATCGATTTGCCATTTTTTCATTTGAATAAAAGCGATTTGTTGGATTTTGATGAGGATTTCTCTGCTAGTGA